TCCCCCTCCTGCTCACAGATGATAAGCCCGTTCTCTGCAACTCACCTCTTTCTGAAGATGCTAAATGGCTGCTGGGTTGCTCCCTGTGTGGAGAGAAAGAAGGAGACCAAGTGAGCATCTCCCTGAATTGTGCCTGACATTGAGAGACATGCGGCTCTTCAGTCTTCAGGAGGTCATACCTCAGAGGCTCAGTTATAAGAACATAAAGGCCCCCATTGGTCATTCTTGCCCTTATTGGGTGTCCTAAAAATATTTCGCTAAGACGTGTCATCTGAAGGGTTGCCACAGGTAAGAAGGCATCGATTAATTCTCCACTGTGCCTGAGGCTAGAGCAAAAACCAATGGGTGGAACCTCATCAGAGGGAGATCCAACCTGGAAACAAGGAGGAATTTCCTAAAGGTGAGAAACACTAAACAGCGGAACAGCTTGCCGTGGGTGCCCCATCGCTGGAGGTTTCAAGAAACAGCCATCTGTCCAGGATGGGATGAGGTCTCCTGCCTTGGGCAGGGGGTTGGACTAGAAGACCTCCACGGTCCCTTTCCAACCCAACCCTATGACTATGATTCTATAAGCCTATTCACCTCTTTTTTAGGATGCTAGATGCTTATGTCACTTCCTGTGGGAAAGGGAAAGGAGGAGACGAATTCAGCATCTCCCTGAATTGGAGGTCAGACCTCAGAAGCTGAATTATGAGAACATAAATGCCTCCATTGGTCCATTTTTAGAAGTATCCTTGCCCTGAATGGGTGTCCAAAAGGTCTTTAGCAAAGGCATGCCGTCTGATGATGGCCTTGCACTGAAAAGGGGCTGGGGAATCAAACCAGGTAGGGAAAGATCCCCTCTCCTCTCTGGGAGATCTGAAGCAGCCACTACGCGGGGAAACCACCCTTTCTTTTCCCAAGCAGACTCTGTGAGATGGGGGATTCTTCCTACCACCTTTTGGGTGGGATCCCCTCAAACTTACCTCCACTGGAGCTGCTAGAACTTCTGTCATTTGCTGGAAAGGAGGAAAAGATCAGGAATTCAACATCCATGAATGGGTGGGAGGGGGTAGGGGTTAAGCCCTCTTCTCACTCACACAAGAATCTAACTGCTACATTAAACTACAAAACCATCCATGCAGGAGGATGATAAAAATGGACATCTAAACCTGGAAGAGACAGGGACAAGAGAGGCCAGTGTCTTCTGGGGAGAAACATAAAAAGCAACATTTCAGCTGCCCTGTGAGGCATCTAATGCTGAAGAGCAATCAGTTTGCAACGACATAAAAAGTGTTGTCCTGGATGTGGCAGATGTCTGTAGCGTCCCTGTCCTCTGAAACCGATTGCTACCCTGTTTCCCCGAAAATAACACCTAACCCGAAAATAAGCCCCAGTATGATTTTTTCAGGATGCTCGTAATAGAAGCGCAACCCCAAAAATAAGCCCCAGTAAAGTGAAATCCCCGCCCTCCACCCTTGTGCAGCAACCAGAAGAAGAGGACGTGACTGTATTTGAATAAATGTAGATTGTTGTACATGAAAAAAAAATCTCCTGAAAATAAGCCCTAGTCTGTTTTTGGAGCAAAACTTAATATAAGACTCTGTCTTATTTTCGGGGAAACAGGGTAATACAGTACTTACTGAATCCAAAAAAATGTACAGTGTCATGCAGTGGGAGGACAGATGGTGGTTCTGAGCCATCAGGTCAACTCCCACCCAGGCCCACCCTCTGCACGAGGGACCTCCTTCTAATCATTAAACAGCCCTGCTCAGCTCCGCTCTTGGGAACGATGGTTTGCCTTCCTCTAGTTTTCACCCTCTAGTTTGTGGCTTCCTCCCCCCCCCCCAACCAGGAAAGTTCCAGCCTTAAATATGCCGGATTATAACGGTTACCACTCCCAGTACAATGTGACTAAGGAGGATGGGAGTGGTAGTCAGCACGCTGGAAATGTACCATGTTAAAGAACGTTTCTATAAGACACGGATCCTAGGAACTTGTGCCAAAGGCATTAAGAAAAAAGAGGGTTTGGGGAAGGGACTGGAAGTGGAGAAAGGGGCAACGTGGAAGAC